AATAAGTGCTTCCCTGGCAAGTACAAGGGCCTGAGTTCAATCCCTGGTTCCGCAAAAATAATAATAATAAATAATAATGTAAAAACAAGATGAACACATACCTCAAGGCACTTCAGAAACAGACCTTCCAAGCAAGCTCCTTTGTCATCATATAAAAATGCCTGTGTTAAAACAGAAAAAATGTTTTATGAAAATATAATTATCCTTTTCATTTTTTTTTTTGTTTTCTGGTTTTGAGGCAGGGTTTCACTATGCAGTGCAGGCTGGACTTGAACTCACTTTGTGGCCCAGGCAGGCCTCAAACTCATAGTGATCCTCCTGCCTCAACCTCCCCAGTGCTGGGGGGCGATATTACAGGCACCCAGGGGCCAATTCTCCTTTTCTTAAACATCTTCAGTAGCAAAAATAAATAAACAAATTAAGTAAGTTACATAATAAAAGCGCACTTTGCTTAAGTTGGATTTGAAAGTGCCTCCATAAAATGCTGATTATTCCTCTCTCTGCCCAGTCCAAGTGAGAGGGAGGCCCACCAAGAAAGAGTTGGGGAACTCAGGCTGGGCTGGAGTCTGGCTTGGGCACAGGACACTTCCTAGCTCACACATAGCCCTGACTTCAATCCCCAGGGCCACCAACACAAGCAAAAAAATGAAACCCGTCATTCATTACAGGGAGCAAGGAGAAGGCAAGAGTTGTTAAGAGTCACTGTACTGATACGGGGGGTTGGTGTTTGAAACCAGGTATGGGCGTAAGGGCTGTAGTGCAGGGGTAGAGCACCTGTCCAGCATGCACAAGGCTATGGGCTCAACTCACAGCACTGCAAATGAACAGAGGAGGGGAGCCAGGGAGATGGCTCAGTGGAATAAGCGCTTCCCTGGCAAGCGCAAAGGCCTGAGTTCAATCCCTGGTTCCGCAAAAAAAAAAAAAAAAAAAAAATGAACAGAGGAAGAACTATGAAGTATTTAAGCAGGTGTAGGGATGCACATCTGTAATTCCAGCATAGTCTGGGAGGCTGGAGCAGGAGGATTGAAAGTTCAAGTCCAGGGAGAACCTGTCCACAAATTAAAAAGGGGCCCAGAGATGTAGCTTAATGCAAAGGCCCTGGGTTGAGTTCCTATTACTGAAAAATTTTAAAACTTGTTGCTAAGGTACAATGAGTAACTCATGTCAAATGTGAGGGCTCTGGTAGGCAAAAGACACCAAGGTGATTTTCGCTCTCTCGCCTCTCCGTGAGTCTCCAGCCACTTCTCACAGTAGTTACGCTAAGAGCCCTTTATTATGGGTGCTGCCTTCTCTTTGGGAAATAATCCCACAGTTTCTGACAAGATCAAGTACACAGCTGATCTAGTAACTTCATTCTCAGGTATAGACACAAAAGAAAAACATCTACACAAAGACTTGCACGAAAATGGTCATAGCAGCATTGTTTATAGTCGTCAAAAAAATGGGGATAATCTAAATGTATGTCAACCAATGAGGGGCAGTGAGATAGCTCAGTGGTCTAAGTGCCTGCTTGGCAAACACAGAAACCGGGATTTGATCCCCAGCACCACATGCCTGGCTGGCCCCACCCCCAAGCATGGTGGTGCAAGCCTGTATTTCCAGTGCGGGGAAGGCTGAAAATAGAAGGATCACTACAAGACTGAGTTATGGGGGGCCTGGCCCTAGCTCAGGCCTTTAAGTGGCTGCTTCCACAAAGCTGTCAGCCTCAGGTTGCTGGAGTTCGAACCTCACACCTCTCCCGCTGGCCAAAAGTGCCCTGAAGGCATTCGAGCAACAAAAAAAAAAAAGACTGAGTTATGCAGTTGAGACCCTGTAAAAAATACATTAAAAAATAAATTAATTTTAAAAATAAATGTATGTCAGGGGCTGGTGAGATGGCTCAGTGGTCTAAAGCACCTACTTGGAACAAGCTTGGCAAAGCACAGGGACTGCGGTTCGATCCCCCAGCACCACATGCCAGCCAACCCCACCCCCTGGTGGGGTGAGCTGGCCACACACACACACACACACACACACACGATAAATAAAATGTTAAAAATAAATAAATAAATAAATAAAAATAAATAAATGTACGTCAGCTGACTAGAAATATAAAATAAGATATAGTAAATCCACATAAAGGAATATTCAGCAATGAAAAAAAATAAAGTATGAATATGTGCTTCAACATAAACCATGAAAACATGTTAACTAAAACCATCATTCACAAGACTATATATCATATAATTAATATGAAATGTCCAGAACAGGTACATCCATAGACACTTTTAGTAGATTCATGCTTCCTCAGGGGTAGTGGCTAAGGACTGGATATTAAACGGCACCTGCTAAGGGATATGGGATTTCTTTCAGGAGTGACAAAAGCATGCTGAATTTAGGTTGTACTGATATGTGTGAAACTGAGGACACACTGGGGAGATAGCTCAGTGGAATAAGCACTTCCCTGGCAAGCGCAAGGGCCTGAGTTCAATCCCCAGTTCCGCCAAAAAAAAAGAAACTGAGGACACACTAAATGGGTGCGCTAACAAGGAGTGGAATGTATCTCAATAAAATGGTTTTTAAATCTTTTTATTTACTTGGGATAGGGTCTTGCCATACAGCTCAGACTCATAGTGATCCTCCTGTCTCAGCCTCCCCAGTGCTGGGATTACAGGACTTTGACACCACACCTGGTTTTAGAAGCCAGCATGGCGAACCCAGGATTCTGGGGCCTTGCACAGCATTCGGTACCAGGGACTGAACCTGGGTCTTGCACTTGCCAGGCAGGCGCTTAAGACTGCCGAGCTCTCTCTCCAGTCCAATAAAATGGTTTCTAAATTGGTATTTCCTGAGGCTCTGTCCTTTTCTCTCTTCTTCCCATTCTCTACTCTGTCATTCAGCAATGTCACCCATATAAGTTAGATCCCATGATGCTTAGGTTCCCATTACTCCAACCACCCCATGGCTCCTAAGAATGAGGGAAGAGTCCATACAGCAGATGTCAGGACCCCTGCTTTCAGCCTGGCCCAAGCAGTAGCACCTGGGAGCCATTCACATGGATGAATGGCTCTCTTCTGTGCTATGCTCAGAAAGTCCATGGTTTGTCCAATCCGGCCCTGCCGCATCTGCCAGCCCTGCCATCAAGAGGCTGAGATCTCACTGGAGAGAACGAGCCAAGTAGCAGCCAGAGTGGACACTAAGGCCTAATGGACACTAAAGTCTAGTGGACACTTGGCACTGACCACTCAGCCAGTCTTCCATTGGTCGTAAGACTTTTCCATTGTCTACAGTAATATTTGTCATGTTGATTAATAAAACCAAATTATTGACAGAATTTAGATAAGTAGAAAAAGGACATTACCGTTAAGGGAATCATGGTAGCAGTAACTTGAATGCAGGAATCAGTGTATTTTAGGGTACAGTAAGGTTAACTTTCCTGGATCACAAAATGCATTTGGTTGCTACAGGGTCTCATAACACAGGACATTTTTCAACACCACACCTGGTTTTAGAGGCCTGCACGGTACACCCAGGGTTCTGGGTGACCCTCCTGTTTTCAGCCTCATACTCAGGACTCAGTGATCCTCCTGTTTTCGGCATCCCCAGCACTGGATTATAGGCATGTGCCACCACACCCAGGGCTGCATGGCAGGTGCCTGCATCCTGAGCCAAAGTGGTGCATCTGGGCATGTTAGCCAAGATGGCATGCCCAAGGATCTGGGGCTGACAACAAATGGCATGTAGGGCCAGGGATTGAACTTGGGTTCTGTTGCTTGCCAGGGAGGTGCTTATTATGCCTCTGAGCTATCTCTCCAGCCCCCAATCAGATATCTTTTAAATACCACTCAGATTGTGAAAGCTTTGTGTCTAAACAGATAGAAAAATATAAATAAAAAAATTAATCAAATGAATAGCATCAGGGCTGGTGAGCTAGTTCAGCAGACTAAGCACCTTCCTACGCAGGTACGTGAACTGGGTTTTGATCCCCAGTACTACACCACGCCCGAGCTCGCTGAGCTGACCACCATGTGGCATGCCTGTAATCTCAGTGCTGGGGAGGCTAAGAACAGGAGGATCGCTACAAGTCTGAAATGCCTAGTGAGACCCTGTGCCAAATATATAAAAAAATTTTAAAAAATGAATAGCATCAGTGACACTAATAAGACAATGAATAATTATAATAACTGATTAATTGGGCTGGGGAGATAGCTCAGCAGGCTAAGCACCTGCCTAGAAAGCACAAGGACCCAGGTTCGATCCCCAGTACCTCATGCTGCACTGGTCCCAGAGCCCTAGGAACACCGTGCTAGCCACTGAAACCCTGCACAGTGGCACACAGCTATAAGGCCAGCTCTGGTGAGGCTGAGACAGAAGGCTAACTACAAGCCCGAGCTGCGTAATGAGACCCTGTGCCAAATACATAAGTAAATACATACGTGTATATATATATATACATATATATATTTTAAATTTGAAAGGAAAAGACTGATTAATTTCTTTTTTATTATTTTTTATTTTCCACTAGTTTAAATTCTTTTTTATTTATTGTCTTTTGTGTGTGTGTGTGTGTTTATGTATTTATTTTATGTGTGGCCAGCTCAGCCCACCAGGGGGCGGGGCAGGCTGGCATGTGGTGCTGGGGGATTGAACCGTTGTCCCTGTACTTTGCTTAGCTTAGCTTGTTCTAAGTAAGTGCTTTAGACCACTGAGCCATCTCACCAGCCCTATTGTCTTTTTTTTTTAATTTATTTATTTGTGTGTGTGTGTGTGTGTGTGTGTGGCCAGCTCAGCCAACCATTGGGCGGGGCCGGCTAGCATGTGGTGCTGGGGGATCAAACCGCGGTCCCTGTGCTTTGCTAAGCTTGTTCTAAGTAGCTGCTTTAGACCACTGAGCCATCTCACCAGCCCTAGTTTAAATTCTTGAGGGGTACAGCATCACATGGATTCGGTGTCCGATGTCTTAGCAAGAAGGTGGCTTCGGAACTTGGCACGCACCACGCCGCTGTTTCCATGGGCCCGGGTTACTTTTCCCCAGATCACTCTGGTTTTGTTTGGTGTGCCACCTGGAGTCACTGTGTTGTACACATAAGCACATCTCTTGCCCAAGTAGAATTCTGTTTCATCCCGGGCATAAACACCTTCAATTTTAGAAGAACTGTGTGTTCCCTCTGGTTCCAGACATCCTGATAGC